ACCCATATACTTTACATGGACTCACAATTATTTACTCCAAATTAATAATTTCCAACAAAGTTTTTATCTTGCAATCCACGGATTCAAAAATAATAACAACCTGAATTATAAGCATTTAGTTAAACACACAAATAATAGATTACTTACACTTATAAAAAACCTTTTCAGCTTCTCTAAGGCCAAATGCCATCAAGTGAGGGGGCAAAGTATAGCTCTCCAGCATCAAATGGAAAGGTATGATTTGACCTTGACATAAAGGTGATAATGGCTCTCAGGAGGACTGGGAGTTAGGAGACTCTAGTAACCCCTGAGATTCAAATATTCTAATTTGTATGAATACATCTCTTAGGTTTCATCCAGCTCAAACATGCTAACTAGCATTGTTACATTATTCCATTAGCCAATAGAAAGCATCTCTAGTATACCATGGAGTCAGTTACCCTTTGAGTTAAAAATCACATTTCTCTAGTAGTGATCTGGAAGTTATCTTAATGACAATATACCTAGTGCAGTTATCACCTTTGTTCTCTGACAATAGCCACTACAATCTTATTCACAGGATATTCACTCAGTGCCAAAAAGATTAATATTTAAGCTGCTTTTCACAGTGAAGAGTAAGAATTAACTAGTACTTTAAAAATATTTTCTAGAATTGACATTCAGAGAGCAAAAAAAAAGCGATTAAAAAAATTAAGACATACTTAAAAAAATTAAGACAGCCAAGTGTGGTGGGCCTGTGTTCCCAGCTGTGTGGAGGCTGAGGCAGGGGGATGGCTTGAGCCCAGGAGTTTGAGGCTACAGTGCACTATGATCACACCATGAATAGCCACTTCACTCCAGCCTGGGCAACAGAGGGTAACCTGGTCTCCTCAAATCTCCTTTGCCCTCTTCTCATCTTTCTTATACATGATTTCCCTATAAAAAAATATTTCTTTATTTTACTTTCTTCTGATTTGTCACTCTATAGTTTATCTGAAAGAGATTAACATTTTTGTGTTTTCTTTTTTTTTTTTTTGAGACAGAGTCTCGCTTTGTTGTCCAGGCTAGAGTAAGTGCCATAGCGTCAGCCTAGCTCACAGCAACCTCAAACTCCTGGGCTGAGCAATCCTTCTGCCTCAGCCTCCCGAGTAGCTGGGACTACAGGCATGGACCACCATGCCTGGCTAATTTTTTCTATATACTTTTAGTTGGCCAATTAATTTCTATTTATAGTAGAGACGGGGTCGGGGTCTTGCTCTTGCTCAGGCTAGTTTCGAACTCCTGACCTCCAGTGATCTGCCCGCCTCAGCCTCCCAGAGTGCTAGGATTACAGGCGTGAGCCACCGCACCCGGTCAAGAGATAACATTTTTAAAAGTCTTCTGTGGTACTTCATTACTAAAATAACATTCAAAGACAAGACCTAGCCATATCATCAAAATGATGAAATGCTTTCTACCTACTATCCTCAGTGACTTTAGTAGTAAACCCTTGTTCAAACAAAAGCCTACCCAAATAAATGCTCAGCACGCAAAAGCAAATGGAAATGAATATTCTTCTGGTAAAAGAAGGGTAGGAAGTCCTAAATCTTTCTGTTCAGCAAGCACTCTCCTTTCCTATCCCAACCAAGTTAGAAAATTAACTTAGTAAAATCCTCTTTTTATTTTATAGATGAGGAAACTGACAGATCCATAGAGGTTAAAGGGCTGAGTGACTCTACATCACCCAGTCAATATCACATAGCAGATCTAGAGTTCAAACCTCCAACATCTTACTAAGAACTTTTCAGTATATCATAATTGTTTCTTTAGAGAACACGTTAATTCAATTCAGAGTGGCAGAAAGACAAGGAGGGTTGTAATGGAAATAGTACAGTTGACCCTTGAGCAACACAAGTTTGAACTGTGCAGGTCTACTTACATGTGGATTTTCTTCTACCTCTCCCACCCCTCAAACAGCAAGAACAACCCCTCCTCTTCCTCAGCCTATCCAATGTGAAGAAGATGAGGATGAAGACCTTTATGATGATCTACTGTCACTTAATTAATACTAAATATATTTTTTCTTCCTTACCATTTTCTTAGTAACATTTTCTTTTCTCTAGCTTATTTTTTTATAAGAATATGATATATAATACCTACGGTATACAAAATATATGTTAACCTATTGTTTATGTTATCAGTAAGGCTTCTGGTCAATAGTAAGCTATTAGTAGTTAAGTTTTAGGGGAGCCAAAAGTTATACATGAATTTTCAACTGGGTGGATGTCAGTTGGTGCCTCAATCCTTCATTGTTTAAGCATCAATTACAATTTTAAGTGAGCTCCCAGATGTCAATTCACAAGGTTCAAGGATTTAGTTTCTTAAAATATCAAGAGACTGGATGCCATTCTCCCATCCTTGCTTTTTACACTGGATGCTATGCTGATCAGGCAGGTCGGCTATGTAGGCCAGGTAATTTTCAGCCCTTGTTTTAGGATACTCTGAAGTATTTTAAAGCAAATTCTATACAGAGTTTCCTAATAGAAAATTTGAAGAGACGGAGAAGAAATGTGTCTATGAAGGATAATTGCAGCAAAATCTAAATTTTTAAAATTAGTGCCAACACTTCTAAAGCAATGGATAGATAACACATAGACTGCATTATTTAATCTAGGTAAAACTAAACAGCCAACCTAATTCAATATTTACCAAGTAAATATTAAGTACATACTACGGATAAGTAATATAGAAACAGTAGGGAACTGAGAGGATGGGAAGATGTCACCCAAATAAAGAACATTTGTGTTAATCTGTCTTATCCTTTAAGCTTCAGTGGAAAAATCTTTTTTCCCACACTTTATTCTAAAAACCAACAAACCACTTTTGTTTCTATGTACCTGACCCTACCACTCCTAAAACAAATTTACCCTTTCCCCACCCTCATTCAATTACTATATTCTGCCTTAGAGACTACTCCCCAAAGCCACACTCTATTCTTGGATGCCCTCCCTAACCAGTTCACCAAGTTTTTTCCTTAGAGCCACATCCTGAAATCCCATCTCCTCTCCCAGGAAGCCTTAATTTGAAAGCCAGGTTAATCTCTTTAGCCCCACCCAGACGGCTTATAACTACCATAACTCTCTCTGCATTCACTATCTTATAATAGGCACCTATTATTCTACCTCCAAGTTAATTTCATTTATTCATGTGCTTATTCAGTACATTACTCATTGCCCTTATTGGTGTGTACCAGGTCTTAAATAAAATCTACCAGATAAAAGGGCATGTACTTAACTCGGGTTTAACACTGAAAATGGCAGATGCTTAATGCTTTTTGGAAATAATTCCAAATACATTAAATTCAACCTGATTCGTGAAATCTATAAAATTTCCCAACATGGATGAATCTCAAAAACATTATGCTAAGTGAAAGATGCCAGACACAAATGACCTCACAGTGTATGATCCCATTATATGAAATTCTAGGAAAAACGATAGCAATGGAAATCAAATCTACATACAGTAGGGGTTTTTTAAAGGGATGGGAATCATTTAAAATCCCAAATCTGGATCTTCTCAGATTTCGCATTAATCTTTATTTCATAAACTTGGAATTTTCTTCCAAAACATGTACTTGATCACTTATGATCAATAGTACCAACAGTACATTTTTATCATTCTATTTCTCCATTTAAAATGTCTACCAACATTGGAATTTTTAAAAAAGATAATTTTATTTTGGCTGTTTCCACATCAGAACTAATGTACGCAATCCAGTTCTTAATTCAAGATTTGAAAATTACAAACTGTAGTAGAAAAAGAAGCTACAGTAAATACCATTCAATTCTTAACTATTCTAAATCTTTTTTCCAAATGTTATTTCTGAGTATTTTTGGAAAATAGCTGGGTTTTAAACTATATTTTGGTCTCTCTGTTCTAAGAAGCTCTTTCATTTCAGAAATCAAAAATTAAAAAAGTCAACCATTTTAGTGAACATAATGTCTTTATCTGGTCATCTTTTATCCTGATTACTATTACTACTTGCATTTACCAATATCCCATTTCAAAAGAGACTATAATTTCCCTGATATGAAGTTTTACTGACAAAATAACTCAACAGGTTAAAATTACTTATGAAACTGTTGTTAAGTGATTAAGCTTTCTTTTAATACAACTGATACGGAGTAAATTTCAACATAGTTGGTGCTACTCAAACTGCCTGTGTCATTACCTATAAAAATTTAGTACAGACTACACTGTACCAAACATTACAAATAATAAAAGCTTGTAGTAATTAACACCTTTAGGAGGAATAGGAAGGTTTTTACATAGCATATAACTTAACAATTTAGTGTCGCATCTGCTGCAGAGATCACAAACATACTGTCATTATGCCATCTCCTTCCTAGAACCCCACCGCCTCCTGCAGCTTTATTCTTGGGTTTTCAAAGGTTTAATCCATTCAGGGTTACTAAAGAAGGAATCAAGGAAGCATAATTTGTGAACCCTGAGAAAAGGGCAGAAATATGGGGTTGAGTCACGTCGTTCCGCCATTTTCTAAGCGGAGGAGGAAGACATGTTGGAACAAAAACACAACAAAAGAGCAGCCATTTCCCAAGCCAGCTCCAATAGCAACCTGAACTAGCTGAGCCCGGTCACTTGGGCACCTTTAAACCCACTTCACTGGACAAACCTAAAAACATCAGAGGTGCCGCCGTAAGGAAAACAGCAGCCAACCTTTCCGCGTAGGGACCAAAGATGACCTGCACACTTTACTGCAAAGGAAAGCCTCGGGAAGAGGAAGAATGACGGAAGCTAAATGGAGCAGAGTGTAATAAACTGAAATTGTAAACTAAGTTGGCAAACTAAAATGTACTCAGCGATCGCAGGAACTTAGGGTTCACAGGAAACCACCAGTTATAGGGAACCCAGGTAACTCAAATACCAAGACCCGGATTCAGCAGGTCCCATTACCTGCCTCTACCCATTTGCCCATTCCATTCTTCCCTCAGCGGATTGCCTATGTGCTTAGGGGTTCTTACCGTATGTGGGGGATGCCAACCCCACCTTGAAGAATCTTATAGAGTTTGCTCTCGTACAGCAACTGGGGATGCCTGGCCTTCTGAGATTCTAGCTTCACTGCCACTTCCTGCAGGGGAAAAGAGGGGATGATGGCATCAACATCCCTAAGGATTCAATGTCACTTGGGAAAGGAGGGCGGTATTAACAAAGCTCCAGGTCGCCACGGCAAGAAGAGAAAGGCTGGGAAGAGGAAGCTCTCTTTGTAATTATAAAACGAGGCAAGCAGCCTCAAAGGCCTCTTCAGGGGGTAGTGACGAAATCGGCACGTCTTCTAAAGTGCAGGAAAATTATTCATCCGAAGAAAAGAAACCACCTCTGAACGTAATGAGATGTTTTACGGAACAAGGTGATCAGAAACTGCTCTAATTGGAACAAGAACCCCAGTGGAATTAAATATTCAAAAAGTAAAAACATGGGAAATCACAGCGATATGATTTTGCTGTTTCCACCTTAAACGACAGTTAAAAAAAAAAAAAAGTTCGACTAAGGGACATCTACGGGACATGTTTAACAAGCTGGGAAACGAGTACACCCAACCTCTCCATTGAGTTCTTTCCCTTTTAGGGCAAGAGAGCGGGGGAGGTTCCCAAGCCAGGAAGACGGGCTCTCCGGACTCCCCAGTGCGTGCGTGCGGTGGGAAGAGGCCCGAGCGGTTTGGGGGCTGGGGGAGTCAGGATAGGCGCAACGTTATGGAGAACCCCCCCACCCCGGTGATTACCTCGCCGTTGGTGATGTTGATCGCCAGATAAATGTCCCCGAAGGAGCCAGACCCGATCTTCCGTACCAGTTTATATTTCCCTCCGACAATGAATTCGGCCTTGGAGCCGCTGCTGCTCGCCATCCTGAGCGACGAAGATGGAGGCTGGGGCCAAGCCCCGACACCTCTGAGGGGAGGATGGAGGCCTCTGGGGCTCGTCCACGGGGCAAGGCTGCGGAGGAGGCGGCAGGAAACGGAACACGGAGGCCCCTCCCGGCGCTACAGGGCCCAGGATCAGTCCAGGGGAAACTGATCACAGCCGCTCAGTCGGGTTTCTTTTTGCCAGGCCGCAGTTTGTGAGGGGTTCTCGCGGTTGCCAGGCTGGGCCACTTGCTCCTGGGCGGCCACCGCTGCCTCGCCTTCGCGGCGACGTCGCCGGCTGGAAAAGGGGCGCGGTGAGCTAGGGCGGCGATACCACTGCCAGCACTGCCGCCGGCTCCGGCCCGGAGGGACCCCTGTCACTCCGCTGACGCCGCCATCTTGTTACTCCAGCTCCAGCCAACACAAAATGCCCCCAGTCCCCGGGAGCCGCTTCTTCACGGCGCAGAGCACTCTGGGAAAGGGATCTCGAGCGCTAGCCGGGAAGAATCGGCAGCGAGAGGGAGGGCGGAACCGGATCCGTGAGAGTGGCGGCCCACGCGCCCAGCGTCACCTCGTCACCGCCCAGCTGCGCATGAGCGTTGCAACCCCTGCTGAGTGCGCCGGCGTGCCTTGGCCTGTCATCACCCCGCCCCGGGCTCTCTCCCACTTCCGGTCGGCCACGGTTCTGCTCACGCTTTACTCACCTCAGCCCTGCCCAGTCTCCCAATGACTGAGCGGCCCCGGGCCTCGAGAGCACGTTAGGCAGGAGTCACCTTCATTTTTCGTGGCAGATGGAAGCCTCTGGCTTCCTCGGGTGTTGGGTATTGACCTTTGCTCTTTGTTTGAGGTGGTTTTTAAGCTTTGCTGTTTTTTCAGGCCTCTCCCCAGGACCGGCCTATGCCAGCTCGGTTTCTGTTTGGAAAGAGCCTGTCGCCTCTGGTGGAAGGGAAGAGAAAAGTAGCCTCGGACCGGCTGGCTTTGAGGCACTCGTTCAGGCCTCTCGGTTTTAGCAGATCCTAGCAGATTTCTGCACCCTACGGAGTGGTGGGGATCCTCTTTTTACAGGAGAGAAACGGGGAAAACTAGAGTTACACTGTTGCCCTGTGTCTTTGCATTGTTGCCCCACATATACATTTGATCTTTAAGAAGAAACTTAGTATCTGATTCACAATGCGTATTAGTGATAGATGGAATCACGGGAAAATAAAGTTGGCAACAGTGAAAAAACTGCACACAGTAAAAGTTGTTACAGCTCCCCGCAAAAACCGAGGAACAATCATATTTTGGTCATGTTGACCCAAATAGGGTAGAAATAACTTACCAAAAAAACTGACAATATTTAAAACTTTACGTGGTATGCTAAAAATTGATTAAAGAATCAAATCTTGGCCAGCGCGGTGGCTTACGTCTATAATCCTAGCACTCTGGGAGGCCAAGGCTAAAGGAAACCAGCCTGAGCAAGAGCGAGACCCGTCTCTACTAAAAATAGAAAGAAATTAATTGGCCAACTAAATAAGTATATAGAAATCATTAGTGGGGCATGGTGGTGCATGCCTATAGTCCCAGCTATTCAGGAGACTAAGACAGAAGGATTGCTTGAGCCCAGGAGTTTGAGAGTTTGAGGTTGCTGTGAGCTAAGCTGAAGCCAAGGCACTCTAGCCCAGGCAACAGAGTGAGACTCTGTCTCAAAAAAAAAAAAAAAAAAAAAATCAAATATTGACCACATTTTATTTTACAAAATTTGGCCTCAGAAAGTTGGGCTTAGTAATGATGTTCACAAAAGAAAACTATGGTTGATGCTATCATCTGTAATTTGAGTCGAAACTCAGTTGTAAAAATTTGAACAAAATCCATCCTAAATAAGTTCATTAAAATAGAAATAGAAAAACTGTGAAGAGTTTTAACTGCAACTTTGAAAGTTGATCAAGCAATTTGTAATAGTGTTCGTCCTGGAAGATACCTTGACTAAACAAAGGGAAAGAGACTTTCCCTAAGGTTTAGTACAAAGTTTTTTCCAGGGAGCCTAACTCCCAAATCACCATTATTGGACATCATTCTTCTTTGATGACTCTAAGGCATGTTTTGGTCAACCTAAAAGCCTTTGCTGTTAGATTCTGGTCTACAATTTTTTTTTTTTTTGTTTAGATAGAGCTTGCTGTGTTGCCCAGCTAGAGTAGTGCTCTGGCACAGCCTAGCTCACAGCAACCTCAAACTCCTGGGCCTTCAAGCAATCCTCCTGCCTCAGCTCCTGAATGGCTGGACTACAGGCATGTGCCACCATGCCCTGGCTAATTTTCTATAATATTAGTTACCAATTAATTTCATTCTATTTATAGTAGAGACGGGGTCTTGCTCTTGCTCAGGCTGATTTCGAACTCCTGACCTCGAGCCTTCGCCCCCTTCGGCTCCCAGAGAACTAGGATTAACATCGAGCCACCGCGCCCGGCCTACAATTTTTTTTTAAGCCAAGTTTAAGCATCTTGAGTTTTCCAGGCATTGCTATTATTTTGCTGATTTTCTATCTTAGTAACCTTAAATTTAATGGATTACTCATCTTGAGGAGTTCCTCATAAGTGAGTGGGGTGTACCTTTAAAGAGATTTTTGGATGTAGTGATACAAAAGCTTAATTGGGGGGGGAACAGGGGTGGACATCAGGTGAACTAAATTAGTGATTCCCAAAAGTCTGTGTAGGGTTTGGAGCAAGTCTGTAACATAATTTTTCTTAAAGAAGTTTAAAAAATAAGGCTGGACATGGTGGCTCACACCTGTAATCCTAGCACTGTAGGAGGCTGAGGTGGGAGGATCTCTTGAGCTCAGGAGTTAGAGACCCCATCTCTACTAAAAATAGAAAAAATTGGCCAGGCCAGGTGGCTCATGCCTATAATCCTAGCACTCTGGGAAGCCCATGCAGGGAGGGTCACTCAAGGTCAGGAGTTTGAAACCAGCCTGAGCAAGAGCAAGACCCCATCTTTACTAAAAAAATAGAAAGAAATTAATTGGCCAACTAAAAAAATATATGTAGATGCCCGGCTAGCTCAGTCGGTAGAGCATGAAAAAATATATATATATGTAGAAAAATTAGCCAAGCATGGTGGGGCATGCCTGTAGTCCTAGCTACTCAGGAGGCTGAGCAGGAGGATCACTTGAGCCCAGGAAGTTGAGGTTGCTGTGAGCTAGTCTGATGCCCTGGTATTCTAGCCCAGGCGACAGAGTGAAACTCTGTCTCAAAAAAAAAAAAAGAAAGAAAGAAAGAAAGAAAGAAAGAAAGAAAGAAAGAAAAAAGAAAAGAAGAAAGAAAGAAAGAAAGAAAGAGGCCGGGCGCGGTGGCTCACGCCTGTAATCCCTAGCTCTTGGGAGGCCGAGGCGGGCGGATTGCCTCAAGGTCAGGAGTGCAAACCAGCCTGAGCAAGAGCGAGACCCCGTCTCTACTATAAATAGAAAGAAATTAATGCAAACGATATATATATATAAAAATTAGCCGGGCATGGTGCTCATGCCTGAGTCCCAGCTACTCCGGGAGGCTGAGGCAGAAGGATCGCTCCGAGCCCAGGAGTTTGAGGTGCTGTGATAGGCTGACGTCAGGGACTCACTCTAGCCGGACAACAAAGCGAGACTCTGTCCAAAAAAAAAAAAAAAAAAAAAAAAAGAGAAAAAGAAAAGCAATATAATGCATTTATATATCCGATTTCACATTGTATTTTATTCTGAGATTTTAACTTCCTACATGTATCATTAAAATGCCGTTTTATAAAATGTTGCTGATGGTAGATGGTTATTCTGTTTTTAGTATAGTATTGGTATTTGGCAAAATAAAACGTTGACACTTCTATGTCTGACCACCTCACCCCCTTTATTTTAGAACTTTCATAAATCCATGAAATCCCACACTCTGGGACTCACTTGCCTAAATGACTTTTAGAAACCCTCCAACTCTGAGATTCTATGATTTTACGTATATATTTGGTATGAGTCCTCATTTGTCTCCTGCCTGTGGCAGTCACTGTTTTAGCACTGACAATGCCCAGCAAAATGTACTAAAATGCTATGTGAACGGCTATAGCCTTTTCAAATGTGATTTCAATTGGATCCATCTTAAGATTTAAGTTTATTAGATTTAAGAAGAGCAAATTTTTTTAATGTAGAAAATGAAAATTTTAGATGTTGGCTATGACTCAGGCTTCTCCTTAAAATCCAATATCATTTGCAGTAACTTACAGCCTAAGCAATTGAAGAATAATCCATTTTTGGTGCTGCTATTTTAGAATTACAAATCGTTCTGTACTTACTGAATCAGCAGCAGCTTGGGTGTGATGGAAGGAGTCTTTTCAATGTACCAAATAGCAATTATTGGCTCCTATACCAGATGAATTCACTAAAACTATATCAGAAGTATAGAATAAAAATTTTAGACCTTGAGGGAAATAGATCACTGGGGTTCAATAATCATTTTTGTTGTTGTTAATGCTTTGCAATTTACAGAGCGCTTTCACATCCATCCTTTGTGCCCCATTAAGACAAAGTGGCTTGCCCAACATTATACGGTTCTTAGTAGCAAAGACAGGACTAGAATCCCAAATACCTAACCAAAAGAAAGAGAAAAAGGAAGCCCAAGAATTCTAGGCTGCAGTGAGCTATGATTGCACCACTGCACTCTAGCCTAGGCAACAGAGCAAGACCTCATCTATTAAAAAAAAAAAAAAAAAAAGCCAGGCATGGTGGCTCACACCTGTAATCCTAGCACTCTGGGAGGCTGAGGCGGGCAGATTGCTCCAGGTCAGGAGTTTGAAACCAGCCTGAGCAAGAGCCAGACCCAGTCTCTACTAAAAATAGAAAGAAATTAATTGACCAACTGAAAATATATGTATAAAAAATTAGCCAGGCATGGTGGCAAATGCCTGTAGTCCCAGCTACTCGGGAGGCTGAGACAGGAGGTTCGCTTGAGCCCAGGAGATTGAGGTTGCTGTGAGCTAGGCTGATGCCACGGCACTCACTCTAGCCTGGGCAACAAAGTGAGACTCTGTATCAAAAAAATAAAATAAAAAAGGAGAGAGAGAAAGAAAGGAAACAGTAAAACACAAATTGGGACAATGGGACAGTCATGTCCCATGATTACTTCTGTGTTCCTAAAGAGTTCAAGATGAATTGAAAAACTCTTCTTTTTTTTAAGGCCACAGAATTTACTCAAGGAAAGGTCACTGGTAGCCAGAGTGTGCTTTGAATAAAATGATAAAGACAAGCACAAGAAGGATAGATGGAAGCTAAAAACACAAGGGTAGCATGCCCATATCTGGAGTCATTTGATACAAATAAGTAGAAAAATGGAAAGCCTTAGAAAATGTTAAACAGGGTCTCAGGCGGTGTTTAACTGTTACACAGTCTTGTGCACAACCAGTATCAGATAAGTGAGTTAATGGAGTGATTGAAAACATGAAGATATTAGAAATGCACAGTTGGATCCGAGTAATAATCCATTCAACCTGTTTTCTAGTCTTTGTCAGGGACAGCAATTTCTATGTCCCTTTCTTTTCTCCATCTGTGTTGTCCCCCTGTGCATTGTTCATGGGGTTTTGTGAAAGTGGATAGCTGCATCTATGATGGCAACTTCAAAC